AAATCCTCCCCCACATCCCCGCCCTTAACCATAGCAGCCATTTAAAATATGAATATCGCGGGCCTTGAATATCGTGGGGACTGAGTAGATTTAAACAACTTTCGACAAAACTACGGCCGTTTGGGAAGATCTCATACGTCCGAAAAATTACCATCAAATGTTAAAACTTTATGTTAAAGTTTTCCTCTTTCGAACCACGCAGAGAAAGAAATTTTGGGCGTGCGTCTAGCCGCCGGCGTGTTATGGTGCATGGTCTATCATGCATTCGTTTTGTTGCGTTAATGGAGGTCGTCTGGTGTGGCCTACGGAAGTAAGAGTTTAGCTTAATTGGGGTGAGCCAGTGGCCTGTTTTTCAGTGGTTCCTTCCCATCACATGGGCGAAGCGCGTTCGTCGAAATCCATAACAAAAAAAACGAAACCCAATTTTGCAGATAAGTAAGAGTTCTCAGTGAGTCGACGCGCCGGTGGTAACGGACCATTGGCCATTGATAACGTAGGCTTCCCATCAACCACACTGTGGCATCATAAAGCGCTCAGACACACGGGGTTATCCTGAAATTTGCGCTCACTGGGATTTGCTGGGCAGTCTGTGGTGCCCAAGACCCACCGAATGGTGAATGGCAATTGCAACAATAGAATTGTCTTTTGTTGGACCTAGTGTTGAAGCATATGATCCATCCACGGTTACGTATTTCCGACAGGTATATCTCGGCTAAATGTGAGCAGAATATATGGGGTTCTGAAACACGTATTTCCCCAGGATTTTCAGATAAGGCGAAGCCAGTATCACTCTATTTATTTATTATAGTTATATTTATTCGGGGAGCCTACTCAAACGTCTGTCGAGAAAGGTTAGCCGATTAAACTTTTTCTGACTGACCAACAATTCGCTGCTCGGTACTGCAATTTCCATTTCATATTTCTGTCACACTGGGGCCTGCTAGTTGGCCAACCGTCCGTCACTGTTCTGACAAGATGCAGCTACCAGTTGCATGAAAATACGCAACCCCCTCCCAATTTCTTAGAAAGTGACTGATATAGGTTCACATACCACCGCTGAATCCATGACCCACAAAAATCGTCTACCCGGGCACATGGAGCCACGATTTGAAGTTGTCAGAAGCAGTCGTTAGAGACTCATCAATGGTACAAGTATTTTTCGCCGTAACTAGGCAACGCGGCTTCGATTGTGGCTACTGACGCAGCTGAGCACAATTAATCCTTAGAACTGCATTTTCCAGCCATTTCTTCTAGGGACAATACATTATTGCGTACACCTTAAGTATGGGGCACTACTGTTGTGACGGTTGGGAAGCGACGCGGGGCCTGTGGCGTCAGAAACACCTAAAGAGTACCACCCACTAGAAGCCCTAACGAAAGAGTATAACACAGTATCATATTGAAGGCAACCACAGGCCAGGTTTATCCAGCCAGCGAAGGAATACAAATAATCGGAGCATCGTAAGCAAACATAAACAGGATGCCGCAAGCTCCCAATGGAACTATCAGCGGTCGCCAGATAACCCTTAGACAACATACGGCCGGGTTTTGAAATATAAACGAAAACAGCAATTGTGTCATTTCGTATTTAGAAGTAATTACAGATGCAGTTTCTATCGAGATCATCTGAACTAGTGTCTGGAGGAATGGTTGTAGTAAGCTAGCAATAAGTCCCTTCCCCGTCCACTTTTATTCTTTTCTTCACAGTATAGGGCTTTCGAATAAATTGTGGTTATACGGCAACAAAGCATCAGTGTTGAACACTGGTTCCATGCTCTCGATAGTGAAGGTATTTTCCTGAGAGGAACTTGTATGCGTATAGGCATTCCTTGGCGAAAACAAACCACACACGTACTATTTCAACCAATTAGTGAATCTAACTTGGTAACATGATACCCCCTATTCATTTACTTAACCCGGTCGTATACTTTTGATCTCTACTTGTTTCGCTCATATGCACCCGACACTCACTTTGCCGCAAAGGCCGTTCCGTCCGACACTGGTGTTCTAGCATGTGGGACTGTGCGTAGCGGACCTACATTTCCATGCGTGTTCGTACCCCTTTTGCTGAGCCCGCTCTGGCTTGTTATCCACTGAGTTCCGTGTGCTCGCACCGTCATTCTGAACACAGGATTGTCACTGGAAGGTACACCCGTAACTCACACTACCAAGCCCACATTCCACTCACCGTTGTCTAGTGTGAAAACCTTGACACTGTGCTGTGCCGGTCAGTAACAGAGTTGTCCACTTATCGGCGTCACGAACATGGTCAATTGAGGTCATTTGTATAATTTTGCTTAACTTTGTGTAAATAGGCCATGGACTTTCGAACTGAATTCTCCCTTTTGATATTCGGGATCGTCCAACCTATGCGTGACTAAAAGTCCCCTATCAAGAACCTCAGAAATGCTCTAAATTTGAAAGCCAGGTCAAAGTAACCACCACCATTGATGAAACACCTCCCATGCTAGCCCATTAGTGGGATGAGGACAGAGACAGAAAAAACCTTTCGCGTGTACCCGTTTCCAAACAAGAAAATCACACATCTATGTGCAACGAAACCACGGCCGACTTACCGAAGAAAAAATCGGCGGAAATAAGGCTGCTAAAGCTGTACAGGCAAACGAAATAGAGGGTAGCGCGCGAGCCGCAACAAAACGAGCACTTTATGCGTATCATTCACACCAGCCGGACGTTCGATGTAAACATTGAATAACGGTCTGGCAAAACGATTATGCTACCCACTATCCAGTTTGAGAAAGACAAAAGGAAATATATCAAGATAAAGTAAACGGGTGCAGAGTATGTGCAAACTGTGCTGAAAGAGAAGTCAGATCTGTGTGGATGAGGTCACCATGTCCAACAGCGGTTGGAAAGTCCAGGTCATGGAAACCTCTTCGAGGAAGTTGACGTTGTGCAGGGTGTTTGATGTGTGAAATGCATATTCGAATCGCGCACGTTCATGCAACTGATCCAAGCACGTGTCCACTCGTAGTACCCAAAAGGCAGGAAAAGTTGGAACTGTAGCGTCTGCTTTCGATGCTTTGAACAGTGCTGCTTCCGCCAGAGCCAACAAAATCCCAGTACAGTGAGCACTGAAATGCAAAAATTAAAGGCATAAACGAGCGACCTAGTACCAGCTATGTCGATTTGGAGGAAAATAAGCTCACAAACTAGTGCACTAATCTCACTTGACAGATACGCCTTCACTTTCGTTGTCGGGGCCTTTCTGGTTCTGGTAATCTTCAAATGAAAGGTACATCCCCAATAAAATAAGTTAAGTTTGTCGCCTTTACGGAAGTCCCCACATGAGAAGGCGAATTCTTTTACCTCCAACTCGTATTGACCATTTAATCCCCTTTAAAAGAGTCAGTATGTAAAAATCTATGATCGAAAATCGAAGTGTGTACACAGAGTTCTCCGTGGGTTTTAGCCCAATGAGAAGTCATTTGGATCAACGAACGCCGAATGACAGAAACATTCTGATTCGACCCAGTTTTAGCTAAGCGCGCTAACCTATTAGTTCCCCAACTTGGACTGGAGGTGACCGCTATAAGACAGTAGAAACACAATCGTGAAGATAGGTGGACCAGGTAAACTGAAACAAGGCTGCTGCAGTGACAACCTCTTTAGAATACAGCTCTCAGCAAACTCGCAACGATTCGGCTAAACTGAAAGTCACGACAATCCCCTCGGAGGACATTTATCCAAAGTATGACAGGTTATTTACAATGTGTAAACTACAAACCAAAAATTCAGCAATCCTGGAGCAAAAAAATTAAAAAGAAAAAGATGACGACATAGTTGCACATCAGAAGAAACAGAATAGTCTGAAACTTTTCTAAACAGTTCGCGTTCACACCATGTACATGCATGCATGAAAGATTAGCGATGTTTGGAACATTGGGCGAAAGTGGTTCGTGTCAACTTCCAATCGGTAAAATAAGACGGATGGCGTTGCAGACTAACGCGTTTTGTCAGATTGTGATATGTATCCACGGTATGATTAGTTCTCAATTTCTGGTTGCTTAGTAGAAAACGTCCCCTGTGATTACGGAAGTCATGATTCAATATTGCCGTAGAGCAATCACGTTTGTAACGAATACGCACAGTGACACTGTGCCAACAACCATGAGATGGCGTTGAGAGGTACTGACACCAATTTACATTCTCTGGCCATGTAAGGGTGCGCAGCTAGCTGCATTCAAAACAGTCAGTTTCAATACGCCTTTGGGTGCATGGATCTCCGTACAAGCACATGCGTCTAAAGGTGAACATTCTACAGGTCGCAATCGTCTTGACAGACTGATGAAGCACGTTTATGGTCTTTAGATTACGAGTCAATTAATCACAGTATTTCACTGCGGAGTGACCACTCTACTAAATATGAATTTTCCAGAACTTCAAAATTCAACAGAAGACCTGCGGTATTTACTTAAAACCGTCAAAGCGACTAATTTTAATGTCACCATCAATCATTTGCCCGATTATTCCAGTTTTCAAGTTGGTACTTGCCAACTAATCTTTGGACAGCTGTATGTACTTTGAAACAACACACATGCATAAGGACAGTGTGACAGCACTAAGACACGCTTATGGAGCAGTATATTGATTTTCGTTTACCGTTTGGACCCTCGGAAATGAGTTGGGTCTCATGGCACAGTCAGATAGAAATGACAAGCTGTCATCAATTTTCACTTCACGGGCGAACAGACCAATGACCCTAGTGTTCCGTTGTTCACTTTCTCTACGTCTTCATAAATGTATTGTTGGCAGACTTGCTAATCGATAAAGAAAGTAACAGTGTGTTTATCGTCAATGTTACTCAGTCGGTCAGTGGGGTCTATTGAAGCAGAATAAAGAGGTTTTCGAAAACAAAAGTCCGGAAAACTGCATCGCTGTTCGGTATAAGAAATGTGTGGAGTGCAATAATGCGAAGACTCCGGAATCGCGGGAAGCGACTTATCGTGATCGAGTTGGAGTACCTCATTTGTCTAACGTGTGCGGACGAATGCGTGTCATTTTGGAATCCTGAAGCGACACTACGGTGGCCGAACACGGCGTCTCGTTACTGTATTAACACATCCAGCCGTAAGTATAGACGCGCCGGCCGATACAATGAACCATTTATATCGACATTGTGCATAAATGAACCGGCAAAGCCTTTTGAATGAAAGAGAAACACGCGTTGTATCGGGCCACTCACCTCATCCGTGTACGCCACATTGTTACATTCAGGCCGCTAATCCACAGGTCTGTGTTCTGCGGAGAGCCACCATCAAGGGATGTGTAATATGTATTGAGCTCTTCTTTCCCAACAAGCAGAGACAAGCGCCAATGTGGACCAACCGGGGTAGGGCCATCAAAGGAGCAGGTAGCGGGATTTTCATAGACCCGAGGATTGCAAGAATAAGATTGACCGGGCAGACGAGTGACACTCAAGCCACCCGAGGCGAGCGAGGGAAGCCGGTACACGTGTAATCTGGACACGTCTGACGACGACCGGACATTAGAATGGAATGTGAACTGGGTGATGGGAATATTATGAGGCGCCCACGACAGCTACAAAAGATTCGGTAGTATTAACAATCAATATCAGTATAATCAATCAATCAATCAATCAATCAATCAATCAATCAATCAATCAATCAATCAATCAATCAATCAATCAATCAATCAATCAATCAATCAATCAATCAATCAATCAATCAATCAATCAATCAATCAATCAACAATCAAATCAATCAATCAATCAATCAATCAATCAATCAATCAATCAATCAATCAATCAATCAATCAATCAATCAATCAATCAATCATCAATCAATCAATCAATCAATCAAATAAACATAACAGCTAAAAATAACACGTTTTGAGAAGCAACATGACGCCAGTGGCATATTCTACACAGGTGGCACGAAGGAATAAGTAGTGACTAAATAATTACCTGATGCTCCTTGAATGCGTTGAACGCTGCGGTCAGAGACACTGAAGGGGATTGAAAACGTAACGATAAGTTCCTGATAAGTTCCAACAATCGAATTAAGTCTCGGTATTTACCAGGAAAGGATAAACAAACGCACTGAAAAAGGCCACAGCAAAGTAGTGGGGAGATGGTCCAAGTGATTAGAGTGCGAATTTACTGATCGAAAGGTTTGTGGTTCGAACCCGACCTCTGCCTCTCAACATCCCCTGTCTAGGGTTGAGCAACCTGGCAGTATCCCAGCCCCCGTGCAATCTTCGGGTGGCATGGCAGTTAGGCGGCGAAAGGGTCATTTTCATCATCATTATTGTCAGCTGTAATAACCGCGTACTCGTCGTACAGTGGTTGTAGCTGCCGCAGTTTCGTTCACCGATGATTTGGGGGAGGAGGGGTAGGGTAACTGCGCATTGTAAGCGGGAGCTGATAAATGGTGCATAAAATCCAGCACTGTCAGTGGGCTGTCAAGTGGGGGGAAGTCGGAAATGAGCTATGCAATGAATGCAATAGCTTGGATGCACGAACGCCATTGAGGGCGCCGAAAGGGTGCTACAGCTGGACGGTTTTCTCTAAGTTTCAGTCAGTCATTCTTCTAGAATCTAACTTTGTGTCACCACTGTTATAACAGCGTTTCATGGGGCAAAAGGCGAAAGCACCGACTTAGGGTGCACGACAAAAACCGGTGAAAATCGGCGTTATCTCCTCACTTTAACCAACGAACTGCGTAAAAGACACCCAACCAAAGTACCTAGAAATGGAAGAGTGAGGTCACAAACACGAGATAAATTAACGTTGGTCCCCTTCTAATTGCCAGATGAGACCAAGCAAAAATAACAGGTAACACGGAATTTGTCTGATACTGGGAAAAGCGTTGGCTGATTGATCAGTTTACCTTAGAACTCGATCTACGACACAATTTACTCAAGTAACTTGATAATTTTTTTGTGTCGACGGCAGAAATTTGACCAGGGATAAGCCGAAAAAAACCAAACAGGTGTGCCAATTAATGTAATTTACGAAATCGAACTGCTTGCCAAGAACTGCTGAAGGAATTGAGCAGTTTGTCGAGTTGCAAGCCTAAACCATCCCAACTCAAAATCATTACTAGAGTCAGCGACGAGCTGCTGGCCATCAACCCATAGAGCTGCTGGGGCAGTACGTAACCTACACAAAATACAGATGACAAACAATTCATGGGATAGACGATTTATTTTATTGTGTCGCGGATAGCGCCCAAAGAAGACAAAACAAACCATTTTGTGGTGTCGGAAAGGAAAAGCACGAGATGCCTCGATATTTCAAGAGCAGTTCTGACGGCTGGCGGCCTAAGCCACTATTTAAGGTGGTACGAATATTCTACCACAAACAAAAATGTTTTGATTGGTTGGTGACCGACAGATTCAAGGAAAGTTCAGCTGCAACATTTTTTCGGTGCCTAGCTGCCATGCCATCCGCATGAAGCATGACGGCGAAGATACCGAGAGGTTGCCCAAGCCTAGACCGGAGTAGTCGAGATATCGGGGTTAGGTTAGAACTACGAACATTACGGACATTCACGCCTTAACCACTGCGCCATTCCGAACTCAAACCCAAACAGTTTTATAGACGAAAACTATGAAATTACAACAGCAAAAAATCTCAAAAAAAGCATTAAATACGGTAGACCGAAGGATTCGCACATCAATGATCCGAATACAGCTCATCCACAGTTCTATTGGTCAGGACCCGTGAAAGGATAACCAACGGTGGTCGGTTGGTTGGTTCTCCTTCCGTCTTCAATCTTGAAAAACCTCGGGACCTAGTCACTTGGCCTGACGAAGCTTCTGTGTCAAAGCGAAACATTGCCCAACCAATAAATCTACCGATTGTTACCAAAATTTTCCGAAAAGGATGACCATTTAATGGGTTCCAAGCATTTTTCACCTGAAGTAACTAGTCATTTTGTAGGCTAACACAAATTGTCAGATTCGCCAACTCCCACCAAATCCGCGAGATTCGGTCTGGATAGCTTTCAGGATAGACTGTTAGTTAGCCATATCAGATTAAACAACTACGTTCTCCAAGTGGTCAAAAATAGGAATAGCAAAACGTACCAGTAGGATCATACTTCTTCGTTATCATGACCTCAGTAGGTTTGCCTGTAGCTTTCCAATGTTTTCGCATTTCATCAAGTAGGTGGTCACGTTCCTTACCAAACAAGAGAACAAACGGTATATCCACATCGTTTTTGGCAGGATCTTCTTCTCCAGACATGGTGAACAGAGAGGACACACTAGCGGACGAGTGATCGATGTTATCGACCACTATGCCACCAACCGCTCCAGCCTAGAAACAGAGACGTACGGATACCTAAGTCAGTTAAGTGATTGAGTAAAAGGTCACCACTAAGCTTTTTTAATGATAAACTTGGGAAGCATCTGTACCGACAATCAGATCCTCATATGCGACTTGCCTTCGCTAAATTTCGTGCTTTGTCCACAAACAAACAACCACCTCGGCGAATAAGCCCAATGGAACCAGCCAGCGGTCCAAGACCCAATTTTGTACCGAGATCCGTCATAGTAGCCTCAGGAGCAGACTCATCGGAATTTCCATCCCACTTCAACGAAGGTGAGGGGTAAGCTGTGCCTTCTGAATGAACTTCAGTACACCCATCTAACGGATAAGCAACTCGGACTGGAGCTACGAGTGGGCGCCACTTAGAGGGGAGGGCTTTCAAGGTTTCTTCATCTGTCCCCTTGTCAGTATGGGAAGTGGTGGACTGACTGTCCCCGGTCACCACTGTCGATGTAGCAGCGTTGCTCTCACCAGGAAAAAGTCCAAAGTATGCGGGACAGGCACTGAAGCGAACTCGACCAAACGACGGTGGATTTAATAGGACCACATGTCGAGGCTCGACGAATGCTCCTGGAATGCAACAGAAAAAAGAAGACAACAAGTTAAAGAAATTTCTCACGATTTACCCAACGAAGCCATATATATATATATATATATATATATATATATATATATAGTATATAATACCACACACACCTAATGGACGGGATTTGTAGTAGTTTCATCAAAGAAGTAAAATAAATCATTGCTGGAGACTGGAGGCACGGTAAACTTGTTTTGTGGGTTCAAAACCCCCTGGAGTTTCGAAGGATCCGCAATGTTGGTGATTCCCAACAAGGATGAAGCACTTGTATAGTGCTTTCCGGTTTTTCAGTTCAGGATGGCTTCAATCACAGGACGAAACTTCAACCTTGATGAAGATCATCAACAGCGTGCACCTCACGAACCCACGACTTCCAATCAGTGGTCAAACCAGAAATGATCTGCACGGATCATTGACTACCAAGTCGCCATTCGAGGAGGCAGCCAAAACCGGATTATATGGGCTGCATGGGTGAAGGATGCGTGGTGCCACGTACATCTTTGGTTAATCACAGTGCTTATCAGCCAATCTCGGACGATCGTGTTCAACTAATAGCTAATCTGAGAGGCTTTGCTTCAGGAATCCACAAACGGGAGTCGCTCAAAGGCAACAAACAGTTCCCAAGGGAGTGAAGCATCAGTGCCAACGCTGATGATGATGACCCATCAGAGGACACGTTAGTTTAATAACTTGCAGGTCGCATTCTCCAGGTTCAGCTAGTTATAATAAGCCAGTATCCACATAATGTTGAAGTGTTCGATTCTGCCAAGGCAAAGCACCACGTCGTTTGCAATCCACTTATACTCTAACAGATAGCAGTCGAGGAAGCCGGAATTAGATAAGCATTTTGACGAAGAGTTTCTTGGTTCCTGGTAGGAAAATGGCTCGGAAATCGATTCTTTAATGAGGGTTGGAGGATTTTAGAAATATACACAAACGGCTAGCGTCATTCATACGAATGATGATGAACATGTTTAATCTAGGCTCGAATGTGGCCACCTTCAAGGGGGAAACTACTGAAAGATGAATCGACAAAAAAAACAACCAACAATTTGAAGAATACTCTACAGGCTACAATAGCCATAGAAAAACTAACCTTCACTGTGTTGGTTGACCTTGTTCAGAAGTAATAATTCTTGGATGAAAAGCAGGCCAGCAAGAGCGAGTTGTGGGCTGTCTGCCTACAAACACCAAAGACAATAATGAACGCAAGGGTACCGGTGATTAATAGGTTGAAAATGTCAGGGTTTGGTATTTTTTAGCCGAAACAGTTCACGAAGACGAAGCAGAGTCGGTCGAGGTTGTGAAGGCTATTTACAGCAAATACTCACATTCAACCACGGCCACATTCTCGCACTCCAACAGATAGCAGATCGCATGAAAAGAAAAAAATGCTCCTGAGCATTCAGGTGAGTAATTGCAACTAATCTCTGTAGGTAGAAATTCATTTGAATCTCAAGTTAATGTCGTTTCTCTCGTTGGCACGCGAGTCTCGGTGTACGAAGTGTCCGATTTCCTGTCCAGGTATGAAGAGCCATTGGTACAAGTTAGGGATTTGATGAGCCTAACAAAGGCTGAAACGGGTAGCTAGCTGTCTACCAGACTCCATAAGCAGTAGGCTGTACCAAGGAAAAACCAAAAGTATATGCTTAACTCCACAGTTTTAGGAATTTGAGATTGCCAAGTATGCCTGGAAGATTTTCGGAAGTGCCTTCGAATGAAAATGAGGGCGAAGTCACTTTCCACTCATGTTTGTTGGTGAGTAATACCAAAGATTTGTGGGCCTTTTCTTGGATTCCATATCAGTGTCCCTTTGGTAGTTGAGAAGATTCAGATCTGTTCATAAACATGAACGAAGGATTTCATCTCAGCAGCCTCAAGGAGAGTTTTGGAGAAGCTTCCCGAAAGCAGTGTCCGTCAGTTTCTGAGCCATTAGTCAACGTTGATCTACAAAAATGAACTCATCAGAATGGCAACAGCGCGAACAAAAATACAAGATTCCCTATAACCGTCGTCTCCCAGTCAGTCTTCGATTCCTACGTTGCATTTCATGGAGTACGACAATGGTTGACCGCACTGACAAGCCATGGATACTAACAGCCATTCCACCAATCGTCTTCGATAGTGTTTTACAATCTCCAAATCCAATTGCTGCAATGCTACACTGAAAGTAGATGGGGGTACGGCCAGCGATTCCGTGTCGATGCCTAGCTGATTTGTGCTTATTTACCAAGCATTCGAGAGCAAGCACATTACTGAGTAATGCAATGAATTTTACCACCTTAATAACGCTCCCCTAGGACGATAAAATCGAATTTTGTTCAAATTTTTCCAACAGGGCTACTAAACCGTCTCTTACAACAAAAATCTCTACACGTGATCATTTGAATGACATTCGAAGCGAATAAGGAATGTGTTCGCTGTGGTAATGCTCCTTCCAAGGGGCGTTCTACTGTGTATCCACTCTCAAGAATGAACCAAGTAGATATAATAGGCCTCTAGAGGAATCAACGGAGTGAACCGGAACGCAGTTTTGCTTTACAGTGTGCCGTAGAAAAACTATAGGAATACGTACCGGTGTCCGTAGAGTACACAACATGAAGAGATTGACTAAAGACCGAAAAAAGCATCCGCCCCAACCCATGTCCCCGGTGGCGGAAAATGCACAGTAATTTATCAGTAAGATATCCCAATATGTTCCCTTTTACGGTGTCATGCAGTGATTGAAAAACATTATTACAATAAACACCGAGAGTCTGATCACCAGCTATGACTGTCAGATCGGCGTTTATGGGACAGGGTACCGTCTTGATGCTCGCGAACAGACAGCATGGTATCGTGCGATCTGACAGGAGGGTAGGAAGGGATGGCTTACATAGGTCTCCACGACGGAGAGTGACGGGACTCAGCCAGCACCGCCTGAGCAGCTGTGAGAGTGAAAATCGAAGCGAGTGGTATTTTCGCTGACAGTTTCTACTGACATTATTTGCATGGGGTATGAAGGTGTACGCAGCTCGGCAGCCGGTCTTTTCTTTGCCATCCTTCTCTTAAAGACTCCCCTATAATACGCGGTGGCTGCACGATAATGCGGCTCTGATGTCAAACCTGGTGTCACAGTCCACGAAGATAACTAGCGGCTACGTGACTCAAAAATGGTTTCAAGCAGGTTTTGGTCTGCCGCCTAATGTTGCTGATGACAACTTTTAAACCCTGTGAATCGTCCACCAATGAGTTGCGTCCTTACAGGTACCCATAGAGCATAGTGATTGGAAGTAGCGTTGGAATGCGTGGCCAGATGTCGTCGGTTCGGTTAGATTATCATTAACACAGTAAAACAGTTGTGTCGGTACTAATACTCGATAAGCACACGGCCTGAACTTTTCAGTATCTAGGCTTGAAACAAACAGTGAGGGGAAAAGACTTGAGGTCCAACTATTACATGTCCAACCGAGGGCCAGATTATCCAGTTAGACTGAAAACAGCATAGTCCCTAAAGGGTCAAAAAACCGACATTCATACTGTAGCCATATTCACAGACCCACTCCAAAGCTCCTCATACCTACTATGTGAACAGCAGATTCTAAGGCTGCATACAAGCAGCACTCTTCTAGGTAGACAAAATGTGCAACACATGGTAGTTCGTTGTGCCAACATACCCTCTCCCACACCGAATTACCTGTTTAGTCACCAAACATCTGTTTCCTAATCGCCTGTTTACCATATTATCCACGCCATCGAACATTGCAAACTCATACCACAAAAGCATTGTCAAAGCTTATGGAATTGTTATCGCCAACCGTTTGCTAGGAACTGATCACGCAATCGAAAAGACACTACATTTGAGAAGAAGGTCGAAGACAATAGAACAACTGATGTCCGCCATAGCCGGGAGGGTAGGAATTCGCCTGTTCAGTCCACCACTGTGTTCAAAAACGCACCCGTTTGAGCATCCAGACTAACCTGGTCAACAACTAGGGTGGCACAGACACTCAATCCTAGACTTCGTGTTTTCCATCTTTTTATTAATGGCCATCTTGGTATCGAAAGAACCCACCAATTTATCCCAATGTTTTACTTGTTATGCGAGTACTGGCCAGTCGAAACGCACCGGAAACTGCGATATTCATACCATGTATCTCATTACAGACTTTGATCAAACGCTCAACTATTCAGCGCTATCGTATTTACTATGAACGAACGTCACACTGCAGTCATGTATCTGCTGTTCTGAGTGCTTCCTTGTTCAACTGGTGTACCCGACCCATCTCAACGACAGCTACATAATGCAAGTGGGTTTCCAACCCCATACACAACGACTACCAGTGATTTGAACCAGAGGACAAGATTCGTAGACGTGTGCGCACATATCAGAATGCTGAAAAACTGTCAACTCCAACCAAGTACTGGTCGTCTAATACATACAGATGTGCACTGTGCTTCGTAAAGCAGAGGACGCGTTGGTGGTGAACAGAAGTTGACCATCATCGGTTGACTTGGTTAAGACTTGATTAAGACGGGAAGAACTGACAAGCTAACTTATCAGAGTACTGTTCATTCGAGTTGCCTCTCATTATGCAGTAAAAAAAGGTAAGAGCTGTGTTCGTACGGAGATGTGTTCCATACGGAACACCGCAAGATTGTTTACTTGTCGTCAAATTTCACCATCAACCAAAAAAACTGTGACTTTGGTTACCATAAAATCTCTCATCTATCATGTCCAACCAGTTTTAAGCTACGCAACCTAGATCGCTCAGATCGGACTTGGCTCGTTATCCTTCACTTCTTTACAAGACCTCATAATATGTTACCTGTTTACACATTGACCGTGTTACTTGCGCACCCCACTCAGTCAACGGGACTTGCACAAATTTGTGTGTATGAAAGGAGCACTTGTCAGACATACCTTCAAACGGAACTTCACATTTATGGTACATGTTATCTGATTCACTTTGGCGGACAGACATTACGAAAACGCATTGCATTTTTGGAGTCCTACTCAGAAAGGTCGGTCAAGATATAGTCTAAAAATAATTTCAATCAAACAAATTTGCCTGCATGTGTTGTTCACTCTGGTGCCACTGGCACTGAGGATCCAAGTTGTATCATTCAAATGACTCATATGAATAATTACTCCGTTCACAGGGTCAGTATAGCTAATAGAAGAGTACCAATCAGAAGTGATTAAGCGCATTGACATAAAAGAAACGCGCAGATCACGTACGAACTGGGTTAATGAAGTGATCCTCATAACTTTTGCAACCTTTTAGCATGCGGCACACTGTTTTCTCTGTCCATGCCAAATCAAAATTGCTCACAGATTTACTTGGGTGACGTGTGTTAAAAAGCTGACCGTTATACGTCGAACGGAGGCAGAGAAAATGTTTAAAAACCGTGAATTTATTGGGGTTTCGCACACTGTGTTACTCGTGATGAATAAGGTTAGCTGAGCTCGAAGTCCGAACCGAACACACATCAAACATGGTGGTCGATGTGGATCCCCGTCAGTACAGCCAAGTCTATCATACAAAGCGTCGAGAAGTTGAGGAAAAAAAGCACCGTGGTTCTGTTGCATTGCACCGAACTAACGCAATAGATTACTTGTTAACGGAATACTCTTTTTAGGAAACTTTCACAATGTTAAGAATTTACGGAAGTCCGGTAGTGCTGCTTACAATGATGAATGGGGTTAATTATTATGTTCAAGGTTCACGGTTCACCAAATCGTGTAACTGTTACCACAAGCAAAAAGCCGATGAATAAGGCGAGTGAGACGGAGTGATGGATCATCAGAACAAGACACCGACTGTGGAGGACACTACACACGTTAGAACACCTTGATACCATGACAGCCTGGACATAAATATGTCTACCGGGCCACCTCTACAATTACGAAGTTAAATAGTTTAGCTGAAACGTCAGCAGTGGACGAGTAGGTCTTCTAGCAATCAGTTGGAAGCGAGGTAACGGAGTATCCGGTTCGGATTCTGCGAGAAAGTCGTTCAGTTACAACAGACATTGTTTTCGTCAATCTACCTTCAGTTGAGTAAGAGACAGATAATGTATGCATCCAAAGACATTCGCAATGGAATTTCTGTCCACTTCAACCTCCGTTATATGGCATGCGATAGGAATAACATTGAACATTAGCGAAGGTCCTAGTAAGGGACAACAGAAGGTCGAAGTTGTAGATGAAAGCTCAGGTGGTTTAACACGTTTGAGAGCTGCGTAGTGTGCTTTCTACTTCAATCGGAACCGAGCCACTGACAACGGAATCCAAAAGTGAAACGAAACTCTCGTTTGGTACATTTGTCTCACACCAGGTGGTTACTGGTTGTGGCTGGTCAACAATTATCGAAATGTGTAGAGAATTCACAAAGAGGATTCATGTGTCTGGTTCACCTATTACGATCGGATGGAGCTGACTGTTGTCCGTATCTTCACATGCCCTATTGCCCACTTAGGCTTCAGTAGAGAGTCTAAATTGTTTCATCACACCTGACCAGGTGTTTCCGCATTGCAACGAGCTAGTATTTGTGACGAGCGACCGAAACGTTCATTACGGGTGTTGAAAATCGGTTCGGTCAAGACACCCGGGTTATCTGGCACTTCATGCTCCAGCATATGCAGAAGTACTTCTCGAACACCTAATAATTGTAGGGCGATTGGTGAAATAAAACAAAGTTGGGCATTCTACACTATCTAGTACCCAAAGTTATTTCGACATGGCGAACTACTTTTGAGGATACTGGAAACTGTTCGAGAGTCCACATACCAGTTTTGCCATTCTTGGGGACACATAGGCGTAGTCGCCGAGCTTCCAACAACATTATGTTCTACTTGAACACCACCACACTGCACACTATTGACAAAATACACTCACATGCAGATTAATTTGGTTCTAACGTGAGATTCAACTGAACCGCATCTGAATCTCTCGAGGCACAACCAAGTTAGTTTGCAAATGAGTGTAGTTCGGCACGCGTATACAAATTGTTTAACGCAGAGTAGCAGCGAACCGCCGGCTTTTTCTAACATCGGCAATCGCATTACAACTAGGGAACCCAGTGAAAAATATGGACAACAGAGCAATACTGACGTCCGAAACGCCAAGCACCTAAAACGTGCTAATCACTCACAGTGAAGCTTTCCGACGGATCCTGAAAAACCAGTCGCAAAAGAAAATGAAATAGTCACGAACTAGGAAACCCAAGCAATCTCTTAGATGCGTACAGGGAAATGCATAGATCAGCTTTATGACATTGAGATCGATAGCATTTAGTCAAATTACCTACGAAAACAGTCTCCAAGTTTATGTGGTCATGTCCCAACTGTTTCTTTCGCTCTGGTTTTGTGGAAGGTGACTGGTGTTCGAAGGTGAGTGAACCGATGCAACCCACACGCTGCAACCAGCTGTCTCATAAAGAAGCTGCGAGTGATTCGGCACTATTGATCAACTTCTTACTCCATATCCGTGACACAGGAATGACAAACTGGGAGAACGGCATGTGTTGTTCGGAACTGGCTCAAACCCAACACCATCAATGGTTCATGTATGTACCAACTGGACATGAAAGTGAACTAACAGGGCATCACTGAAAGAAAGCTGAAGACTGTAATTTAAACCGTTGAACGCCTAAATTTGTATACACTCTAATACGTTTGAATGAGGGATCGCAAGCCTCCACACCTCTAGTCAAAGACAAACGTTCAGGAAGGGCAGAAACCCATTCTTCTTTGATCGAAAATCATCACGAATTGAGAGGCGTCACGCGAGACTAAAACCAAGTGAATTTCTGGATATGAAGTTTCTGTCGCAGTAGGAGGGAACGAGAGGGCAAATGGACAGGGAAGGTGGAAAAGAAATTTATTCACAATACGATTACGAAGTAGGTGGCAGCCGACAGTAACTCGATATAAAAATGTCCCTCCCCCTGAAGAGAGCATTTCCCATTATCCAGTTTTGCTAGGTCCTTTTGAAATGCTTTTTACAATTATGACCTCCCTGCAAGAGCCATATTTCGGTCGATAGCTTCACGTGGTATCAGGACAAAGACGAATATTCAAATGAGTAAGTGAGCGCAAAATGAGCAGCAGGGCATGGAATCGCAAAAGCAAGGATACCACTAGATATGAGAGTAGGGTGAACAAAATGAAGTTGAATAGAGTCAGAGATAGACTAGACTCACTGTGCTTTGATCATGACGTAACATGAGACGCCCGTCTTTTGTCACCGAAAACTCGATGCCCATTTGTTTCACGGCACTCAAATGGTTTGGATTTTCCGGCCGAAAGTCACTAGCACGCACGAGAAGAGGAACGTGTGAGGCACCCTGCTGTTCTGATGGAGTAGAATAATCCTGGACTGCCGTGTTGGAACGAACTCCCAACTGTCGGAGTGGTTCGCGGATAAGTTCAATGGTCTGCCACATTCGCTGGGTGATCGCTCCAGGGCATGCATAAGGAATCAATCGCTCCGGCTGAGTCAAGTGCATCAACATCCGTCTGCCTCGGTGACAACTGGGTCCGTCCCAAATAGAACAAGATGTGGTGTCTATGTTACTTATTTTATGTCCATTGTCGAGAAACTCCTGGATGGGTCTACATTCGTTTGGGGAGAACGGATGAGTATACTCAAATTCTACAGCTGGGCAAATGCTTGAGCGCCTAAGTTTTGCCTCAGCCGAAGGATCTCGATCTCCATGATGATCAGTTGGTTCTACAGGAGAAATATGCGATTCCGCATTGTGAGTTCCATCAAACATAAAAACCGAAGATGTGTTCTTAGGGCGGACTTGAGACAAACTAAGTGGCAGAAGGTGAGCCTCAGTTGTGAAAATGTAGTCACCCAGAGAGAAGGGTAAATCAGACGGTTCGGTGAACAAAAGGTATAAGTACTTGAAGGTCTCGGCCAGGACAAACGAATCAAACCGGTCAGATAGATTCATCGTGCGGACGTCCTAGATAAGAATGAGGGAAAAGTTTTGTGTTAATGACATTCCACGACAACACGCGCTATATTATGGGTACAAAAAAACAACACAACGATGGAAAACGGTTACCAGAGTGACCGACTCCACCGTGGACGTGAAAGGACTGGTGCATATGTAGACAGTAGAGGTTGAGAAAACAGGTGGAGGGTGAGTTTTTGTTCCATTGGATAAGACTATGCTAGCCGGCATTTGCATCAATGAGACAAACTGCAGTATTTCTTGAGAATCATCAGCCAGGTTAAGCGGGAAACATAACAAGGACAAACGAGTCGAACATGGCCAGGAAAAGACACTCACTTCAACAGCTGCGTAACCGCAAGGCACTCGGGTATAGTTTTGCAAGTCATCTACAACTCGGGCTCCAACCTCCAAATAGTACGGATCATTGGTGGCACGGTACAACAGGTAGGTAGATTCAATAAACTCTGGTCGCATCAGATGCTGTCCCCAATGGACACGCAAGTCTGGTGTGAACGCTTCCGGTAGGAGTTTGTTTCGTTTGTGCACTTGGAATAGGTATTCGTGAAGGGCAACCGCGGATTTGATATCTCCAAGAAGGACCTGGAAAGGATCCCGTTCGGAACAAGGGCTTATTTTGCCATTTTTTAGACTAACTCGGACACATTGAGCGTACATGATAGGAATTAAAGACTACTTAAACAATGTGGCTTCTGATGGTTGTGATACAGTGCACCAGGGAAGGGGGAAGAAAAGGATCAGGAAACGTGAAAATAAGAGAAAACGAAAACGTGTAGGTCAACTGAAAGGTTAAACAAGCGGACAAATTTTCGCTTCAGTTAGCGACCCTCGAAGAAAATAACTTGGCCAAACACATAGGTGTTTCAAAGCAACGGTATGGCAGTTGGTAACGATGAAGAACCGTGTCAAGAGCACCCAAATACTCCATGAGAAACGCTGATCTGAACTCCCGACAGAACAAAAAATAATGGAGCTGGAGCGTACGTTTTTAGGTAGTAGAAGCATTTAGCATGGGACGGTTAGGCATTAAGGGCGATGTGTTTGATACATCAGTACCAATGGCTGTGGAGGTTGACTGTACCTATTACTGTCACCAACGGATGGTGTGTCGCCTCCTGAGAGCTGCATCCGGGAAGTCGACAGTTTCTGAATGATCGAGATTATTTGTTACCAGATCAAAGAGTGTCCATGTTACAGTTTCCACTTGAGAAATAAAACATTTCGAAATAGACCATCTCCTGATAGGCAGTCCGCTGTGAGTTTTTTTCTCGCAAAACTGACTTGATACCTCAGCTTTTCCGATCCAGGGTTCCCACAGGACCGGATCGGTGCTTCGGAGACACCGACAAACGGGTAGGGAGAGTTTAGCTGTTACTCACGCGCGCAGGGTCCACCGAGGTAGCATAACCTACCTCTGACAGATGGGCATCACGTTGAAGATGAGCAACAATATAAGGAGACGAGAAACATATCAAACTTCAAAGTTAAATTCTTCAAACATCTACAGAAGTAGTGAGTACATCACCAAAAGCATTTTTGTTCCAAGTGGTTCGTGGTAGATTTTCCCACACTGATAACCCCTTCTTTGAAAACAGCCTGTAAATCACCTGCGGCATCGAAAGGTTATCATGGGTTGGGTTTCTGTTGTGCATGGACGGCTTGTTTCGACATTTCTTCCAGACTCATGAGCTCCTCCGGAACTTGTGTCCATGAAGAAAAGCTGGATTGCTCACAGAAGTGTGGAGCCCATTGTACCAGAGGACGATTTTGATCTATGCCTTCCGCAAGTCTTATCTAACATCCATTTTTGACCAAATAAATCAATCAGCGGAAGTGAAGCAAGTTTGTTTCCACTTAAGAAAGCCTTCTGTGTCTCCCGTACAGCCGTTTGTTGGCGTACACGCTAACATGAGAGAACCACCGTTCACCGTATCTGATTGCATTGACTTCAGTTGAGCCTGACCACCGCATTCCACATGGACCAATCAAATCTGGCATATCACTCACAATGAGTGCAGGACACATGCCACAAATGCCACCACTCATTGTATCTGGAAAACAGATACCTAAGCAGTAAAATGTAAAACATCCGGACTCGTCCTAAGCGGTTTAAGGTGCACGACCGATCTGGGGTTCTGTGTGTGTTCGGAAGACAGCATACATCCACAGAACGGGGAAGCGAAGTTTAAGTCCTATCTAACGAACAACACTAAATTGAACAATGAAAAGTGGTGGAATCAATGGAATTCATTAGAGGAATCTTTCTATTTGATCTATTGTACAGTAACCTGGACACGGAACAATATCTATGGGAACCAGTTTGACTGGGCTTAGTAGGTCAAAGTACGTGAGAGAAAATCCCGCTAGTCGCTTCCGATTCGACGAGGTTTCAAAGAACAGAAGACGAACGAGACAAGACAAATCATACGGAAAAGCAGCTCACTGATTAAAGGGAATGAAATGGAAACGAATCAGCAATGATGAACCATCATCATTCGACTCGACAGGCCACCTAAATACGGCAAGCCCCTTAAGACTTATTGATATGAGCAACTCTATCACGCTACGGCAATAAACGTGGAAACTCTCGAAAATACCGGATTAGTATTCCAACACAGTCTACGCGATACTTCTCAATTCGAAGACCCGATTCAATTCTCAAACACCAATGGAGGCCAAACGCCTACACAAACGTCCGTATGACGAGGACGATTCTCATATATGGGAGCTGATTAAGAAACCAGCCACGCCAATCAAGTTGCCAAATACAGACCTAAATAAACTCTTCCTTGGACGGTTTCTGAATTAGGAACCGTGGAGTCACGGACGATTGGCTGTCAGCGCACCCCGAGTCTAACTAGATGCCGAGACAGTCTAGAGCGGCGTCAAGTGACTGGGCTGATCGATTCGTGCCACATGACTTGCGAACCCTGCACTAGCATGGATAGCTTGTGACTATACAGTACCGGGTTTCGCAAACGTATTGCGACTGCTTCGGCTGTAGTCAAGCCGAGGAGATGGACCGATACTCGGTAGATGACGTGAAGCGAAGCAGTTGCTTGATCACGTGACCGGTGTCAATTATGCGGTACGCGATTGGGCTTTTGACAGACACAATACGTTTGCGAGATCCCGAAAACATAAAGGTTTAGCTTTACTGATCCGACTTTCTCACACGTCGGAACACGGAAACAAGAACACATTTCACTTTCATGATGTAAATGTTACTAGACTCTGATGGAATCATACAGCGGAGCAGTCCATCGAAAAGCCACTTAGATTAGACAGCATCCGAATTTACACAGCGCTGTATCTCTCAGTCAGAAAAGGAACAGAGAATACGTAGTTGCGAGGGGCGAGTGCCCCACTGGCTACATGAGTCGTGCGACGAGATACCTATCAGAGGATCAAAGGCCTTCCACTCATACCATATCGGAAACTATCAAAACTAATTAAAGTGCTATCGAGAACCATTTGCTAGAACCTGGTCAAGTGATCCATAAAGACTACTTTTGAAATGACGTATCATGTCCCACCAAATAGGTCAAAGACGATGGGACAGCTGCCCCATCTGGACCAAGCATCCTGACTAATCTGGCCACTAGGTAGGGTGACACAAACATTCTTACGATGTCGTTCAATTAGAACACTGGTCCAACTTTGACTGCATGGATTCCTTTATAATTAATAGCTACCGTGAGATTGGAACATTCAACCAAACTGTCTTACTGTATTGCTAGTTATGAGTACTGGACCGCTAAAACGCATCAAACACATATGTTTGCTACTTTCGTGTTAAACGTTCAGATGATTTACAACTATGCTGGCTGGAGCATACTGGTTGCAAGGTAGAAACGGCCCGGTAAACGAGAGCTCTGTTGCTGTAATATTTGGAGCTCCTGGCTGCTGGGATTTCGGGACTGTAACCAGATGTACCCGTAGCTTCTCCGCCTCTATTGGCGGAAGTTTCTACAACACAGAATCCACGCTAGGGATTATTTCCTTCGCCCATATCACCATTTTGCTTACTGCAAAATTTAAGCTCTTCTCTCTAAGTGGGGAAGAGCGTTTTCTGTTAGAGAAGCTGCTAGTTAGAAGCGCTAAACACCCTAGAGCAGGTGGACAACATAGTGATTGCAAAAGCGGATAAGGGTAAGGTCAGTATGGTCACGAATAAGAGTGGCTATCTACAGAAGGTCAAGCGACACCTAGCTGGGGGTCCTTACCGGCAGATCGATAATGCGAATAATACATCTTCGTGAATAGGAGTAGACTTGAAGTTGGCAAATATTTGCGGTACGTGATAAACCACTTAAGGCAACGCAATTGGTACCAATTGTACCTCAAAAGTGCAATCTAACCACGGCTTCATGGCCTACCTAGATTTCCACAAACCAAATGTTTCGGTAAGACCGATAGCAGACAGAATAGGTTCCCCGCCGCATGAGCTAGCCACATTCTTGGCAAGTATTCTAAAACCCCTCACCGGGAAATCTAGTACTTACATTAGGAATTCATACGACTTTGCCGACAAAGTAGCGGGTGTCACCATTGAACCAGATGATATCCTTGTAAGTTTCGATGTCAATTCGTTGTATACAATTATGCCAAAAGAGGACTCTTTACAAATAGCCAAGCGACTGCTACGAGCGAACACCACCCTTTTAGAACGGACAGAGCTAATGGTAGATGAAATAGTGGAAGGCATTAAAGCATGCCTGAATCTCACCCACTTCGTTTTCGACTCCGTGGTTTAAACTCAAGAACAAGGTCTAGCAATGGGATCTCCAATATGCACGGTTTTGACAAATATATTTATGGAAGACTTTGAAAAGAAAGCTTTAGCCGGATTCCCATACCTACCTAAAATATTCTGGCATTATGTAGATGACACTTTCGCCGTGATGAAATGAGACAACAACAACCATCTGAATGAACTGAGTCCACACATCAAATTTAGTATGGAGATAGAGGCAACCTCGCATACATTGACCTTTTTAGTCTGTATGACACATAAAGGTCGGGGGAAAAAATAAAGACCGCAATGTACGAGAAGCCAACCGACAAAGGGGCAGTCTTGAATTACTCGTCTGTCCATCCGAAGTCGGCATTCGCCAGTATTGCCTCATCAATGTGTAGGCATGTGAGGGCCCTGTGGACAGGAGAAGCCGATCGAGAAGCGGCCTAAATTGAAGTGAAGAACAAACTTCGGGGTGGTAGATATCCAGGTAGCTTGATTAGGTGTGAATTGCAATGGGTGTTGGCACTGGTAGCGAAACTCAACAGGGAATGGACTGCTGTTATTCCATATAAACCAGGGACATCGGGGTCATTCGAAGGCTTCTAAACATGGCTAACATAAGAGTAGCTTTCCAGAGGAGGGAGGATCGCCTTCCTGCAAACAGAACCAGGGACTGTGCCTACCAAATAAAGTGTGACCAGTGTGACAGTCTAAATAAGACAAACTGCCAGGGAACTTCACATCAGAATCGGACAGCACAGGAGAAAAATAAACAGGCCGCCGAGAAACGCGGAAAAACATCAAACGTTACTGAAAGACTCGGAAATTGCGGAACACGTACTGGACACGGGACACAAAATAGAGATAGAAAATGTTGCGGTTTTGAGGCGAGGACAACGGACCACGTCACAGAGACCGACAAAAGAGGCGGTAGAAATCGCAGATCACCCTAGTGTTAACAGGAGAGAAGGCGAGGAACTGGCAAGCGTATGGATCAGTCGAGCTAACACGTGTTGGTGTGCGATTATCAGGAGTGGTCATCATTCGGATCCCACTTAACTTTACTCACCTCCCACCTAGCCTACCCAACACTCACAAGCCCACGAAGACCAACGAAAATCAACCACTGGCACCCGCAGTAAATCATCAATTGGATCACCCTGAAGTAGAAGATTAATGAACAAAAACCGACTGGAACTAAGTTGAAACACCTCCAACACATCAATACAAGATTTTGGCAACCACACTGACCGATGAGAGCCGTTAATTGATACTCAACACTGATCTAGTGTGATAATCTGAAAAGATCTTACCGATTGGTTCTCTGTTTGCCTTAAAACCTGGTCAACTGGGTGACCTGCCTACTTAGCCTGATGAAGCTTTTGTGTCAAAAGCGAAACGTCGCCCAATTAAAAACTATCGGCTGTTTGCCAAACCCTTCGGAGTCAACAGGCGGAACACTACACTATGAAGTTGGTCCAGGCTGGTTACCTGGCTGGTACTGTTCTGGTACTGTTCCGAGCAGCGACTTGTTTGAAACCATACGGGTCCCTTCATAGCTTCCAAATTCGTTTCTACAGCACCCAGTAACTCACTGGTGGTCTCAAACAACGTTGGGTGATTAGAGTCTGGAGATTTTGGAGTCGAGCTCTTATAAACTGTCCTTTATTAGGGGAAAGGTCGAATGCTGTTGCCATAAATAAGGACGCCGTCTGGTCATCTGGAGGATGAACTCTACAGCCTTTACACTTGTAGCTCAGAGGATCGTGCGGCTTAACTTCCGGATCGACCTGTACCTGGACACTCAACAATCTTCATCTGGCTGCTCTTCTGTGGTTGAACGCTAGGAAACGGTCTTCCAGTCAGTATAGTCGCGGGATCATGGCAGCACTCGAGCACAACCATCATGTCAAGGTGGCATCACTTGATCAGCGAAGAAGTCGGTTAAGAGGCCGGGAAGAGGTCTGGACGTATTTCAATGAATCCGCCTACCTCAAACCGAAAAAGATCTAGGGCTTAAGTGCATGTTAAAAATCATATTGACAGTTCACTGTAATACCTGAATGCCAGGCCAAAAAGCGAAAAGCGCATCCATGAACGAACGGGAGCGTTGGGAGGGACTGTGCATATTGACGTCAAGGAATAGGAAAGGAAACCGTGCCGATTCTGGACCACTGACGTAGCGTTTAATAGCCTGGTAGTGGGTGTGAAAACGGTGCAGATAGACCGGTTCACCAAGCAACACGTAGGCTTTCAGAAGGTATTCGTAGTAGGAATCGATACCAGCGCCGATTCCAGAATCTGAGAGATAGTAGAAATAAGTAAAAAGTAAACAAAGTAAGTGGCACGTCTAAATTTCACACACACTCAGCAAGATTCTGTGAGAGGTGACCAGAGCGCTCTCCCACTAGTCCCACGGATAGCCAATTCCTTCGTTGTACTGTCAGGGCAGCCCTTCGTTTTTGTCACTTTTGTGCCTTTGCAAACGGTATTTTCTGTCTGATTCCGTGTCATACCGTCCCTTACTGGATATTTATGGTCTGTCAACGAAATCGGGTTAAGGAACCAAGTAGGCCACATGGCTCAGTGCGCGATTTCGTGACGGTCGAGTTGCACTAGATATGAATACTCAATCCACTCGGCACAATGGCCTGAAAACTGATCGCAAGAGAAAGTGCACGGTCATCAGAACCGACAGCATGACATCCGTGCTCAACACCGATGCTTCACTGCCGTAGCTGTGTTCAAAAATGTCAGCTGCAAATATTTGCCGACGCAAGTAAGTAACAACTATACGGATAAAATGAAAATTCCTGACGATCCATTGGATCTGTTAAGGTGCAGTGACGTCACAAGAAAGGATAAACCTTTGACCAGTCAATCTGATGGGCCACTTAAGGGATAACTCCCAAGTCTTTGGCTTGTTGTGTGACTGTGGACAGTATAGTACCGCCGGATCGTGAATGTCAGTTGGAAAATAAGTGTCTGTAGCACAGCTGAGCAGCGTTGAACAGAGGAAAGGACTGACGCTGTGGCAGACTACACAATTAAACCAATAGCCCCAGAAATAGTAATGTCTTGAAAACTAGGACAATAGCTGAAGTGACCTTACATAGTTAACTCAGAAGCAACCGAAGTTATATAAAATAACCCCTCGACATCAGAGTGAGGAAGCAATGGGGAGAGATAAATATACTCGAACCAATCTTAAAGGCTCAGTTATTCCCTTGGTATGAAGCAAGAGGAAAAACCGAGACACAGGGGGGCTTTTTAAGGACTTCGCACACTATAACAAACATAAGATGACTAACCTCGAAGAACCCAGTCCCCACTGTGAACGTTGATCACCCGACCGACTAGATCTGAGTATCGACTTCGCTGTTTCCATAGTTATATAAATAACCCCTCGACATCAGAGTGAGGAAGCAATGGGGAGAGATAAATATACTCGAACCAATCTTAAAGGCTCAGTTATTCCCTTGGTATGAAGCAAGAGGAAAAACCGAGACACAGGGGGGCTTTTTAAGGACTTCGCACACTATAACAAACATAAGATGACTAACCTCGAAGAACCCAGTCCCCACTGTGAACGTTGATCACCCGACCGACTAGATCTGAGTATCGACTTCGCTGTTTCCATAAGTAGGCCATAGCCCGAACCGCCTTTTCCTCATAAATCGGGTTCCCAGTTAGACGACTGAGAGCTGCAAATTCCAAAATCATTGTGCCAGCACAAGCAGTGCAGGTACTTTCCTGTAGCACGAAAAAGGGAAACCGAATGTTGCTGACCTGAGTAACTGAAAACCGAAGTATGGTTACATGACTTCCAAAACAAGAATCCGAATTTGAGTCTTTCTTTTTGCAAAAAAGACTAAAGCAGTTCCAGATGGGAGCACATTACGGGTTGAATATGCGATCGAAAGTTTAAATAAATAAATAAATAACAAACAAATAAATAAGAACAAATTATACATTTAGAGGGATAATTATGTTGTCTATTCCATATAAACATGTCATATATGAAACAACAATCCCTTTTTATTTCTATTGCAATTGCATTTGGAATACCGAATGCTCAACCCACATAGCTGTACCAGAATCATATATTCGATTGTGAGCTCAAATAAATATATCGTCAGGGAATAACACGTCGGAGGGAAGAGAAATGGTATCACGATACCTCAGGAAACTGCCGAGACAGCAGATCCAAAGACCTTTAATATTTATAATGGGAATACATGTGTTGCATGGTGCTAAAACGTGCGTTCCGCTCAGTTTTGATATCAAATATTGCTTAGGGACGATGCTACACTGGTGTGTGCATTAGATATGCATTTGTTGGTGAATCATCTCGCGAACTGCGGAACACCATGTGAATCAACGTCTTTCTACGCGCAATAACAGTGGAACAATGAATTAATCATGACCTTCTGAATGGGAAAAGCCGAGACAGATCTAAAGGAAGAAACGAGAACAAGAGGGACCATCCCAGACAAGATAAAGGGAGGACTTCAACGTATCGCTTCAAACTAACAGGTTCAGTGTCATGGCTGCAGCAGTGGCCATTTGTTATATCACATCTGAATTACAAAAAGTTCCCTGAATGAATCGCAGCTATGATCGAGAGAAATTGGGTTACAGACCACATCGCCTGCGACCCTTACTAGAGATGAGATTTCTAGTGATGGAATGCTATGTCGGGCAAAAACGCATGAAAATCAGGTATTAAGCTGTCGGTGCGATGTTTGTGGCTGTGTGATCGAATTGGATGTGGTGTGCACAGAAAAAACGTAGGAATAAAGGAAGCAAAGTAGACAGATGATCTATACGTCAGAACCTTCTATACGTCAGAACCCTTCAATATATCAAGGCCGGATGAGACCAACAACCTTTTGATATGACAATAGGGCCAGATAGCGAAACAGGCAGATTAAATTTTTGTGAGTTGCAAACTAACAGCCTAAACCGGAATACCAAAGATCGTGACTGTACCGAAGTCTGCATGTCTTTATGAATGGGAGAAATAGCGAAGTCAGGAAGAATTTGACTAACAGCCTGCCAGAGAAAACAGCTATGAAATCCTTCGCATTTTCAACCAGGCCGCGGTTTTAAAAATTCCAACAGATGGTTTCTGACAGCATTTGAAACCTTCTGACACAGTTATTCGCCATTTGGTTAAGTTGACAAACGGAAGGGTGCCCAAAATGGCAGTAGGTGTGCCCAGCACCACCATTTAGTGCTTTATACCAACTAGACTGTTCCAAACCAGGTGCACTAGTAGAAGGTGAATATCGCCAAGAGCCACTAAACTCCGAGAGGTACACACCACTCGGGACAATTTAATGTCACACAAGGATGTCTCAGGATTAACGGAGCATTTCCAGTATCCTATAAAAACATCAACATGAAGAAAGCAGGTACGAGTGCGCAGCATGGACAGCACAGAACAGATCCCCATTACTGTAGGAAAAACAACATAGCAGCGTCTCGTGGCATATCGCTCGACGTAGATGACAATAACTATCCCACCAATTAAGTGCCTCGCGCTATCGTCGTTATAGGTATCTCCATTTAACTCAAAAGAACCTTGTACGGCTCATCCCCCAAGCCTTGGGTCAGAATACTATTCGTTTGTCCAAACGGTCAGAAAAAACAATGAAAAAAACAACAGATTACGTAGCCAGGGTCTTCTCGACCAAGCACAAAAGTTCTAAGGCCTTAGATCGACTAGCCGGTACATTCAAAAACCCAAAGCGACCCGCATTTAATGTCTTCCGGCCTGTGCTAGTCAATGAAGGGAAAAGCCAGGCCATAAGAAGATCACGTCTTTGGCGTCCCTAATCATAGTGTGTAATCAATAATCTGGTACCTAATTGTCTGTATAATTCCGTAATAATTGAAAAAATTACGTCGTCCGAGCGAGTCGAACTAGGGATAAAAAGGTAGGGGCCTGGAGTTGAACGGTTACTGAAAGTGACAAACAACACTGCGAACAATGTTTTGTCAGTATGACAGATCGTAGGACGGAGAGTGTTCAATCAAATAATCAGGTCGATGATTAAAGTTCATCAGCTTTGATGACTGACACTTGGACAACTGTTTCGAAAGCAAAATGAATCAAATGGCCTAACAAGACCGTTCAACAATTCATGGCTACGTTGGAGTTCGAGCAAATTCATATATCATCGAGAAGTTTGGGAGCTGCAAGCGCTACATCGGTTACTTATTTGGGATGGCAAACGATCGGGTGCTGACTGTCTTTAATACAATACAAAATTTGTTACTTTTGACGATAAAACATAAACAGATGGTTATGCAAACTTTTCGTTCGAACGACAGTCTAATGGTACACACTTCAACGTAGTGTATATAACAAGGCCACGTGGACTAGTTCAGTTGCAATAGGAACTAAAAATCAGAACGTGACATCTAGTTTCGCCTTGGTAAACCTCGTGGACATAGGCTATACGGATGACATTGAAACTGAGTTCAGAGTCGCTTAACCACAACAGTTGAAAGGATTCGGATAACGTTTGCTAGCTGTAAGTACACTTTTGTTGAAAACTACACTATGCATACGGGTAACAATATGTTTAAAATCTTTGAAATCTCTTCGACAGCTCACTACCGACCTCACCCTTTTTGTCCAAGATCATTTACCAACTTCACAAGTAATGTGTAGCGTTATATCAAGAAACGATACTTCAATGTCTCGAATAGCGCGCCAACAGAACTATGAAGCGGCCTTTGTGTAGCACATTCAGCTGAAGAATATCATAAACGAGAGATTCAGTTGGGATTCTGCGGAGCTTCCTGTTAATGCCAAACTGATGTGCAAATAAGCGTACATCGCAACAAGTACGCACAGACCTTGCACCTGCCGTGTTCACACAAATATCCACCATCACAGCTCGAGAGGTTGAGGATAGACATGAGCAAAGTTAAAGAACTTGTTGAAATGACTCATTAGCTTACCATCTACTTTTCTAATGACCCTCAGTGAGTTAAATTACCCTACCTTTAGATTTGACGATGAAAATGCTTTCCAAATCTTAGACCAAACAGGATCTAACTATTCGCAGATGACTCCGCTCTGGGAGCATCCATTCTGACGGCTTTGACACAGAGATGGAATCTACATTGCGTGGAATAGCCCGTGAAAGTCTCGTCAATATCTATTTTAGAAGTCGTAGGGGGCGATATGGCCCAAGCGCGAATTTACTGACCGGAAGGTCCGTTGTTCGAATCCGACTTCCGCCACTCGACCTGCCCTGTCTAGGCTTGGGCAACCTGGCAGTATCCTAGCCCTCGTGCTTCCTTCGGGTGGCATAGCAGCTAGGCACCTGAAGGGTGCTACAGCTGAACGCTTAGAAGTCGTACAGCCTAAAATACCTTCGAGAAAAATACATTATTTCCGTCAATGTTGAGTACATCTTGCACCTCCATAGTACCATTGGGACTGTCACTTGACAAAACACATTCCAAGAAAACGAACAAGTCATATTGCTGCTCGGTGCAAAAGGCTCACTTATACTTCACTAGCTAAAAAGAAAAAAGCGGACTTGCCTCATTACGTTTCACACCCCTGTCACCATACCGCAAGTTGATTATGGGTAACGGTATGCCAGTGGACGTGTTGAAAGCAGGCAGAAGCCGATCGCCAATGTCTGTTGCCATTTGTAAAAGTTCGTCTGTGTACCACTTCATGCGCGATGAGTTCGCTTTCTGGATCTCCATGGCGGATACATGGGCCCCAAGTAAGCCACTGCAAGGAATAAGCATGCCAGTGAATGAGTTAAGCAATATGGGAAAGCATTAGATGACCAACGAACTCGGGACTTGGAGTTGCGCACCCAAAAACTAGATTTCCATGAACTCAATGACAGAGGCATCGTACTGCAATACAACTGAGTACGTGTAAGATGGAAATGAACAGGATGTGATTAAATTCACAGGAAACTAACTCATCTGTGCTGATCATTGCCATCTCCCTGGATGGGGACTCCGAGACGGGACACTGTCTGATATGGCCCAGTCGCGCAGTCAGTGGCACTCGTGCATCCAAGCTGTTGCCCTCAGTGCATAGCTCCCCTCCCAATCTCACAAGCCTACTGACAACACTGTATTTACGCATCAATGATGTTAGCTACCGCCTCCAATAGGTAGCTATTTACCCCACCAATTCAAATCATTGGTGAACAAAACTGTGGCAGCCAGAACCGCTGATGATGATGTTCGACTACGCAGTGATAAGGAGCCTCGCCAAGAAGGCTCTAGCATCGCAAATGCCTAGAGGCGTTTACGCCCCGTAAATAGTAGAGCAAATGAGGCGGACTAAACTGACAGTAAGAATATTACACCTGGTAGCATATGTATCGAAAACAATGAGGACCGCGCGAATCCAAAATGAAAGTCATCAACAGCCACAGGAGTGCCGGAAACCGTACAAGTGCACTATTTAAGATTCACACATCTGTTATGAAAAGAATGAAAGGGAAGGAACCGAGTGCCTGTCTACCAAGCAAACTGCCAACACCTCGAAGTATCAAACTAGATCGAAGATGTCAACGATGGGGTGCACATGAAACCGTCCGGAAAGGCAATTAGTACGACAACTATGAGGGTATTTTTAGTTGTATTCGCATCAGTGTTATTGAAAATGTCATTCTGTCCCTGAACGATTGGTCCGTTTGGTCCACATGGGCAAGCACCGAACTTGGGTTCCATCCCCACTGAAGCACACCAGTAGTGCATATCTTCGGCCATGCCTGAGTTGGGAGTCCGGTCATCTACACAAAGCTTCGCGTGTACAAAGTGCCAATTTGGCTACGGGTATAAAAAGCATCGATATCTAGGCTTTTTGCAGTTACGAGCCTCGGAGACTTCTTGTGTTTGATCGCAGTTGTATGCGGCGCACATTGAGCGGTAGAGTGTGTCTGACGAGGGTGTCTGACAAGCTGACCAGAATACTAGTCATATTTCACCGTTCATTCCACGACCACCGCTAGTGAATCGGACATGTGCTACGCATTGAGTCACCGAGGGTCTTGCTTCTACCGTTGTCGAAAGGGCGGGTAGCCCAAAATCTGGATATCAACCGCGAAGGCCGATGTTGATAACCTGGTATTACCTGCCATCCAGAGACTTTGCCCATAGAGCAAAAATTGACCCACAATACACCGATCTTGCTATGGATCATCAATCGTCGGCAGTAGCGGCCCGAAACATTATTGGAGCCGACTCGCCTTCACACGGGATACAGCTACCAAAACATGGAGTAAGCATAACATTGTGCGACCGCACAGGTACAGGGTATTATGTGCATCTAATTTTAATCATCCCATCACATGAATAAGAAGAGTACTTCGAATAGCTGTGGCGCACGTCAGCCGCAGCAGCATCAGCAACACACCAGCAAAATGCACTGGCGCAAGTGAACCGATATGTACTTCAAGCCAATGAAGCGCGAATGCCCTCTGACATGGAATGCAGCGCAACTAGGATATCAGTCCCGCGCATTTTTTTTAATTTGAAGGTCTGAAACGCTACCCACAAAAATCGAAAACCCCTTGAAACTAACCGTTTACGATGTTCCATTTTTCAGACGGGGTCAGCTAGACTAAATTATCGATTCTAAGCTATACACCAATTTTTTATCATTTTTAATGGTACCGTTAAATTTTAACGTTGAAAATTTACTCCACGGATGCATAGAATTTAACTTGACTAGCTGACCATTTCACGGATTAAAGACGTTCCAAGCGAAACAACAGTATGCTGGGTCCCAACTCTCCATGACTGACTTCGTACGAACACCTTAGTATCATCAGAAATAACAACATCAGTGTTTACACTGACGCTTCACCACCAAACACACTCAAGTACGCACAACAAAAAGTCAAGAAGCCCGTAACGGGCGTCCAGAACTACTCAACCTTAGTCTATTCTCAGGGGCTGGTAGAGGACTGCACGGCAGCTGATACATAACAAACTCCGACTATCCCAGCAGTTGAACGCCCATTTGCTCTTAGAAGGACTACCGACCTCCGAGTGCACCGGCTATTGAATGAAGACTGAAAGCAACCTGCGCTCACCATCACTAAAGACAGCAACATCAGTGTTGACACTGAAGCTTCACCCGCACTACCGAAGGTACTTTGCTTTTCGTGTTTCATCATGGGATTTTGCTCCATACAACGCCATCGCTGATTCTACTCCAGTAGCATAAAACGACTCAACTGAGAGGTCTACACAGTCAGCCCTCTATAACATCTGTATGGATATTATCGGTTGGTGAGGACCGTCTTCTCATTCTATTAACATTAGTCTACAGAAACAAGTGAGAACTCCCCTATAACGACTAGCGTAAGACAATGACCGTTCAAACACGTACTGGTCGCCTTTCTCCTAGCAAAGCAGAGTACGTAAACTGGCAATGTGTCTTTTTTGTGGGATTGCACAAAATTCACAAACAGACCAATGCCGCTTTAAACCGAATACTGCATCGAGTACTAAAAATCCTATCGAGTTCCCAGTTAGGACAATCATAAAACACACTTGTTCTTAGCTGATTCACTACAAGTTGTTAATGCACAATGTTTTTATCGGATTCGCGCAACTCTGGAAACTCATTACGTATAGGCTATACTACGTTGTGCTTCCAACACTCAGTGTTTATAAGCTGTATTCCAGCACGCTCCAAGAGACGGTTCACAGCGCGATCTCTGCCGTTTATGCACAACATACACATTCTGGCATAGCTGCCTAGCATAGGCTTGTCTTTACACGTTGAAAGTGGACAACACTCAAAAAGATATTATATCCCCTATGGCAAATACACACACCAGGCTCCCATGGAAAGCATCATTGTCACACGCTTGGTTGGACCAGCCCAATGCAATCTGCGCCTGGAAACCGTATTTAGCTGAATAATATTCGATGAAGAATGGGTTCAGTAAAATGAACGAGTGACGGGATGAACCAATGCTTCAGATGACGGAGGAAGTACCAACTTTGCAACGAAAAATAGACTGGTTAGAGAATGGCCTCCAGACGTATATGAAATCGGAAGATAAGATATTTATTTTGTGCCCGCAAGCCTTGTATACAATGTGTGCCCTCGTCATCATCATCGAAATTACATCAGTGATCCACAGTGATGCTTCGTCGCCATAAAACCATAATTTATTTGAAGGCTTCATTGTGAGAAAAAGAATAAAAGTGAGTGGGGAAGGGACTTAGTGCTAGCCTACCACAATCATTCCGAGGTCCCTACACCTCCACAAAATGACAACAACACCAGTGACACCAGATGCCATATTTTGCAGTGTCTTCAAAGGTGCACAGGATGGATAACGCGAACCTCATCCTGGAAAACGATCCACACGGACTGTATCCAGGGTTTTCGTAATCTAGTTCACACCCCTCTGTCAGATCAAGGGCTAACCAGCTATTTGAATGGCCACTTTGAATAGGCACAGAAAAGAGCACATTTAGAGAAACAATAAACCGTCATGCGCGATGCGTGACCCAACTAACAAAGCTTCTGGTGCTGATCATATTTCTCGATTGAAGTCCCTGTCGCACAACCGAACATTCGTTTTCTGAACGTTTCGTGGCGAGTTAGCCGGCACCAGCTTATAAAACAGTTCTGGGACAACGGTCGTCGAAGACCTGAAGACGTCTGAGTTCCGCTGTTTAAACGGGCCGAGTCTCATAACTACACAACAAAACACCCCATACTGTAACCCGACACATGTCCCTTGAGGTTCAGGAATGCGCCGCTTCATCACTATAGGTGTTCCCAACTGGCAAACGCGACCCAAGTCTTGGATATTCGTGTACTGACATCATCTATCACACTACATTCGGAACTAACACAACTTCCAAAATAGGTAAAACGTTCCACAACCGAAGGTGCCTCTATCTGGACTGTGAGTGGAGTGCACGTTCGAGAGCAAGACCTTACAAGTTGTGGGTGCAAAGCGCATGCCAAGGTTCGGCATATCTTCTAAAAAATACCTGTGCATTCTCCTCTTCGAAAACAGAACGACGTCATCAGCACAATCCAGCTCGACGAAATTTTCGCCAGCAGCGTTTGTATCAATATCTCGTCGATCACGAAATTACGCAGGAATGGAAAAGGCGAGTACTCTCGTAGGACACAGTTTTGTTCACATATACTCACACATCCGAAAGTCTGAGTAATCAAAGAGCTTATTATGTTCACAAACTTTTGGGCAAGCACGTCAAGGAGAACAGACTTGTCAATCGAGTCAGTTGCGTCTTGGAAATACAGGAGTACTAAAATTGTGGGTCGTTTATATGTATGTCGTTGTTCTAGTACCCGATGGAGTGTGAAGGTCTGGTCAACAACCCATACCAGGCTAGAATCCCACTTGCCGCTCTCGATTCCGCTTTGCGGTTAACCATTGGGCGATGAGGGACAAGTGACACCAAGAGTCTCATTACATTGGCAATAAAGTTGATCCATCTGTGATTACCACTCTCTACGGGTCTTTCTTGAAAACGGGAACTATTATCAAACCTTCGCAGTTGCATGAAACGGTTCATTTTTTTCAGATGGAAGCAAATATATCGAACAAGTTTTTACTAAAGACTTCACCTCCGTTCTTAAACAATGCGAGTGAGGGGTTGGCGGCGCGTAAGACGGCATATGCAATTATAAACGCTCTTCATGACCACTCCAGCGCAAACTTCAAAGTTGATTAGCCAAAATTACAATCACAGAAAGAGAACAGCTGTTACTCATCAACTGAGGTGAGGTTGAAGTAGTTGCTCTGACCTGCACATGGTACAGCCACTACGTTTGCTGGTGAGAATGAGTATGAATTTGCGGGAAAGCAAAGAATTAGAATACAGAGTCGCATAGATTACTACGCTATTAGTGTGACATTCATCTATCTAAGCTTAGATACGCGATTAATTTGCCGTACAGTATATGTGACGTCCAAATTTGGTTCCTTTAGTTTGCTGACAGTCCAAAAATAAAAGCACATTCCTACTGAATTTGATCTGTTGTCAGTTCAACTTATCCGGATCTCCGGCTAAATCCAAATGATAATGAACACCTGCAGGTGCACACGTTGAACGGTATGGTACAAAAAAGGACTCGGCGGCTCTATTGCTGTGCATTCCTACTCTAGTGAATTTCTGCTCTCTTCAAATCTGGTTGCGTCTTTCATGTCTTTTGCATAACCGGTGTCACGCATTTTCACTCTTGCCGGTGTTATGAACCTTTCAGGCCGCGTGCGAACACCCGTCATGCTTCAATAACTCCAAAATAACAACTGATGAAGTTAAGATACGTTTTTGATGATTGCACAGACCATGAAGACCAAGTGCTCCGTTCACCTCAAAAGTTGCTGGTGAGTATCAGGGACATGGTTTGCACCGTCATACATCAAACCGACATACAGTATATATGGGTGGTTCGAAATCACGGCCTAGCCGGCTTGAATAGATAAAAGACTAGTGCGCTCCAATACGGTTAAAGCGTCCAGCACCACCACCCACTTTATTAGACCTAGTTCCGTCACGAGAGGACAATCAACAGGACTTTCTTAGTGAGGACAGTTGTCGTAGAGCTATGTCAAGAGGAATGACGACCCAATTAGGACCACATGAAGGTAGTTGCACAACCCTGAAAACACATCACGTTAACGGACGGAATTCAAAGCTTCGTTCGCTTGAGTAGTGTCGACTGAGGAGTAACCTATGTGCCCGGAGAATACCACGCAGCAAATTACGCAGGTTGCGGAAGTGTTCCTCAGCCGTACATGAGAACGCAAAGCGAGTTCAACAGCTTAAAATCCACCGTCTCACCGTCATCAACCGTGACAGCAACGTTTCTGAGAAAGCAAAACAGCGTATACTGAGGTCAATTAATTTACATGGAGGCCTATAATGAACAGGATAAAACAGAAGACGGAAAAAGTCTAGTAATAGCCTAACACAAACGCCCCGGGCATCTTGACTGCCAAACATTTATTCAAATAATATGTATAGAAACTCAATTCATAACCTCCATTGGCATTCGCGTTTGTCACTTTCAACCAAAATGATCAGGGATAACTGACTCATGGGAGCGGCTACAGTATGGGGAACTTATAGCAAGTTAATCGTAGAAAACACCTTGAGAGCAGACCAGATAGCAATTCGGCACGTGTATAACTGAAAATCGTTGATTTCTCACGTAACAAGCAAACGAGAGGACCCAGTGGGCAAAACTATCCTGAGTGGTAGACTTTGGAGCCAAAAAATGCTGATCCTCTGGTTTCTATATCTGATCAACTTGTACGACTATATCCTCCAAAGTGGATAGTCCACCAAAGTGTACACCAAAGTGCAACTATTTAAAAAGAATTGACCTACCCGAGAATACGTATATTAGTTTCAAAGACGGACACATCAACATCCGTATCAAACCTGACGTTCTCCAAGACCAACCGAACAGCAGACTCGAATTCCTCCAAGGCACTGAACAGCTTAAAGCGAGAGTGATTAAGTATAAGCAGGAACTTACAAAAAGGCTGTCTAGTGAGTCAATCATCGTCAACGAAAAATTTCCAAGCGTATAGTCCAGATCACCTCTGGAATTCAGCGGATCTCTGTACCGACCTTTGCAACTAAGAGGCATTAATTCATCGGCAGGGAAGGCATGATTCTGTAGCTCGAATATAAAAAATGAAAAAGACATACCTTGTAATTATTGTATCCATGAAAAAACATTTCTTTCACGGTATCCCTAGTTCACGTAAGATATCGGAAACGTTAACGTACCTAAGTCTCAGCTTTTCGGTACTTGGAAAATCCGAGTGGGCGACAACCGAGTGCCACATCAGAGACGCTAATATCAGAAAATGCGTGAAAACCTGAGTGAGCAAGACAGCGACATTCATAAGAGGCGCCATCGATTTGAGTCCAGACGGGCTTCAGTGGTTTAACGATTGGTACACCGGATTGGGAGTTACCGGAGGTATCGGCGATGACTTTGTGTCGGATATGATCCAGTGTCCACTCGAAGGCAGGTCCACCTGAAAAGCAGATTTCAAAAGGTTTAGCATCGCCCTTTGTTCAAGATTTTCAGGACTGCTGAAATGCAGGTACCTGAGATTTGTCAGACGCGCTGCAATACAGGACGATTAGCTGTGGTATCTTGTCCCAGTGCTACCGCTATGAAGCCACCAAAGAAGCATGAGGGCTGAGGTGGCGTAAGACTGTCCAAATCTGGACAAAAGTAATGGAGGCGGACGGCGGGATCCAAACAACGAATATCTCATCCACCCTGAGTTGCGTAAAAGAAATGGAATTGTACGCAGGCGTCCAAGGCACGGATCACAAAGATTTGAAACAGACCAAAGCAAGAAAGATAAAATCTGAAAAGCTAAAGGGCCTTTTTGCGAAATCGCACATTCCCTGCATATTGATGTTTCTTAATAGGCTAAACATAGGCCAGTGCAGTCGATGACTCCCATCCCCCGGCGCTTTAAGTAAAGATTAGATGAATGGGCTTTGAGCAACGACAATAAAACGGGCAGCCATGCTGATTCATAATAGATGATAGTAAGCCGTGCCACCCACCAGGGCTAACAAACAACCAAACAATATTTATCCGCATCCGTACACATGTACCTAATCATGGAGTAGGTTCCCACAGTTTGAGCATGTCCCTTTTGACCGATAAGAAGCTTAAACAACCTGAACTCAAAGAAATGTGCAAGAGCTAACTTCACAAAAACCAACCGGTTGACTCAAACTAAGATGTTACTTCACACTACAGCGTGAACCCCACAACGTACGTCGTACCAGGCCTTGGACACTGGCAAGGTCGGACCTCTGGTTGTGACCACAATCCGATTCGACAAACTATTAGACACCAGACAAAAAGGAAGTATAGATACAGACTGGGAGTTATAGTGGGTACACAAGAAACAGAAAGTGACAAAACACAGAACGTATCCGCAGGCCATTCCAGTTGATTGAACAAAAGCCTCAAAATCCTCTGACAACAGGAATCGCAAAGAAAACAACGGCTACATATTCTTCACAGGGACAAACAAGGGTCTCGTGGAACCATTTGAGCAGGCGTCTAGTTGACCGCAAACTGTTTTCCATTATGATTGCTGGTATGTGACAAAAAACATGATCGTGAACATGAAATCTTCATCAATAGCGCACACACACTGGTGCTTCTCTTCAACAAAGTACCACCGAACTTTCGGTTCTGAGGGGCTTTCAACTACGCTATTCAAGGATGAAGTCTTTAGCCATCATCTTCATAATCTACATCAGCAGTAAATACTGGTGTACAACCACCAAACAACTACGAGGAAATAACATACAAACTGCAGTATCTATTATACTCAGTCCTCCATTTCACAACATATTAGTGTTTCACTTTTACTCTCACTGCAGCTGCCATGCGTCTTTTGTACACTGAATGGAGCCTCACTTTGGGCACTCAGTTATTCTTAGTTAGGTGAACTCATTTATGCGTGTATTCTCGTTTGTCTAGATCATGAATATCTACTCGGTGCATAAATTATCATCACCAAGAAGCGTTTTCTTCAACCCAAACATTGAATCCAGTGAGCGCAGAGTTTCTAATATTTCCACCCTCACAAGACTTGAAGTTTATGGAAGCTCACAACCTAACGAACGTTTGACACCTATTACCTTTCCATCCATTATCTTTCTCACGTTGTTCATGCATTCAATACTGAATGAAGGAGCTGTAGCTGCTATCTAAAGGATCTACATTAGACCAATAAACCAAAAATTTTGGACGTCATCCGCCCAATACGAGCAAACAGGAGAGTGGTTAAGCCCTTGTCCGATTCGGTCAGAAACTCAGTTATATGTCAACAAACCACGATTGTATAAACCGCAGTGCAGGACAGTGATGAGAAGACGACTTGATAGACACTTTTATCAGTCAATTACGATCCAGAATGACACGTCAAAGTCCGCGCGAACAGAAGACCTTAGACCATCAGTCTGCACTCAGCCAAGCACGACCGAAGGAGGGTCTTATAAGTGTTTCGTAAAAACATACCGACAGATAGGGAAAACAAGGTTTCTGCAAAAGATGCCTGTTGCCCAACTTGACATAGAGTACGGATGTTACAGGCTTCCATGTGGATCAGGTCTTCTGAGGTTAGTAACAGTAATACGGCAGCAATGCATCAGTGTTGAACACTGATGTCATGCCCATGACGACGATGACGACGAGGTTAGGTGATTATTTTGGTTTATTTTTCGGGGCGACGGTTTAGAGACGGAACAGTTGCTACGGGATTAGATGGGTTGGTGGCACTGCGTCGTTCAACGGGTGGGTGGGTGTAGGTCAAGGCCGGTGAGAGAAGAGCTGCAAGGCGAAGGAGGGGGTCTGGTTGGGGTACCCCACTCTGAGCCTTTGACTCAAAAGTTGGACCTACGAGGCAGTGCGGGACCTCACCCCTAGCCTCTGACCCAAAAGTCTGACGCAGCGGTTGTTAGGGTTTTCTTGGGGGACCCCGTATGGAGCCAATGACTTGATAGTCTGACCCACTTGGCTTAAGGGATCGGCCTGGCCCGAAGGCGCAGGGAGGGGCATTACTGTTTCACTCCTGATACGGCTGCGCACAGCAGGTGCCTTTCGAGCAGCACCGGGCTTTATTTTTCGACCGTATTGAATAATGCGCCGACGGTCACCGTCAACTGCTGAGTGATCGGAGTGTGCGGTTTTTGAGGCCGACCTTTTCTAACCCGTCCTTCCTCGGGGGAAGGCAGCATCGTTGCTCCCATAAATATGGATATGCTGTTCACTTGGTGGAAACACCTTACTGCGTTTACACTCCTATTGCGGAGGATAGTACGACTTTACCACCAGACAGCCTCGTAATACGATTACTCACTGTTCTCAGTCGGGCTGCTCCTGTTGGCCTTTCTGACATGATTGAAACTTAAGGAACTGAGTTCCAACCAGTGTAGCCCGCAGGATCATTGCAGCACAGAAGCCCGACCACTACGACAAAGTGAGAGTTTTAGGTCAGGTTTTATTAAACAACTTGTGTTGTCTTGACATTCGTTGTAACACCAGCGGATGCCACGTCCATTGTCTAGCAGCATGAACGAGGAATACATGCTAACCAGTAGATCCCGAAGTGGTCAAAGTCGCCAATATTCATGTGACTTTGACTGAGGTCAAGGTTCCGGAGCACTTGAATCCATGACGCCTCGTTATCAACATAAAGGACAAGCCACATCTGAAGGACGGCCAGTGTCACAGTCGGGTGGCACGGTTTGGTATGCCAATGGCATATCCTGCGGTGGATATCATGGTAAGCTTGAGTTTCCGTCAAGTAAATACCTTTCCTGTCTTCAGACTGTTGATCTCAGTATATAGCGTAAGATTCCCCTTCGAACTTAAGTGGCATTTTAGATGCTCAGTGAGACCAGTAGGTAACCATCGCTCGAATGGGTCTGGAGTTCGCTCTACTATGTTCATGTGCGCCTAATTGGATGGGTGCCTTGTGTGAACCTTTACGATCGTTCCGGTCGACTATTTGTGGCACGACAACTAAAAAGCTCAAGATCGCCCACACGTCGCCTAGTTGGAATGTCCCGGGTGGTCTCGGAGATGTCGAACAGAACTAGGTACTGCTGGAGAGTTGCTCAACGAGAGATGTCAGTTTATTTACTCAATTTCTGATTGTAGCTGGACAATTTGGCGGTACGGATGTGCCGGAAAGGACAACATAACATTTAACTGCTGAAATTTTAAGGACTTTGACGTTTGATTGTGCTTCGCTTCGCTACATGTGGTGTCAGACGTCCTCCGCGATACCTGCCTCTGGGCTGCAGTATTTGTTGCTCAGACCCAGGTCCAACTACAACGTATCATCATTAGACAACATTAGACAGCATGACATCAGTGACCAACAGAGATGCTTCTCTGCCGGGCAGGCATGATTTATTTGAAATCCTTATTTTGAAGAAAAGAATAAAGGGGTACTAAGTGATAGCCTACCATAATCATCCCGAGGCGCTTACATCTCCATAAAAAATTCATTCAGGCGTAGCACACTTTCGATGCCGAATTGCCATGCCACCCGGAGTAAGCACCAGATCTGGGATAGCCTAGGTTGCCTAAGCCTAGAGAGGGGAAGTCGAGAGGCAGGGAAATCACGGACCTTCCAGCTAGTAAATTTGCGCTCTATAGACTGAGACATCTCCCGCAAAAGTAAATCCACTATCGACCAGGAAAGCAAACGACAACAAGAAAGCCAACTATCCCCGATTAGTAGCCCTGTCTTACGGCGTGTCCAACCAGGTACAATGGGGATCGCGCCTTTTCCATCCTTCAAGGCGGGTCGCACCGACAGCACCCAGACTTTTCGTAATCGTTTTCATCCCCGTCTGCCAGGTCAATAGTTAGCCGCCTCTCCCTCCGTTAATCTGAATGGGGCACGAGAAACAGCACTCTCTTCGGCATACGGCGGTTCTGTATGCGCAAAACAGGACCTGACCAACTCAGCTTCTGGTGCAGGGCACGTTCTTCAGTGGAAGTCCTCGTTGCACGACCGAAAACTGGCTGTCTATTTATATCGTTAGGGATTCACTGGCACCAACCTATAAAAGTTGTGGTCCAGCGGCAGTGGTTGTCAGATACTTGAAGACGTTTAAGTTCCGCTGCTCAAACAAGCCAAGTCTCACAGCTGCACCGCAATAGATCCCGCACTGTAGCTTGATAAACACGTCTCTTGAGATTCAGGAGTATACCGCTATGACGCTATAGGTGTCTCAAATTAGCAAACGCAACCCGAACCTCAGAAATTCATGCACTGAGCACACATCTGTTACACTACAGTCGGAATAGAACTTCCAAAGTACGCAAGGTACAACACAATGTTTAGTGCCCCTCCTTGAATTGTGAGCGGCGTGTTCACTGGGCGCATCTCAGAAGCATGCTTGGTGGGTGCAAAGTGCATGTTCAAAAGCACCTGTGCCTTCCATTCGAAAACGAGAACGATGTCATCTCTCTCATGTCTTTCATTCCATATCGATGGGGTTTTCGTTATCAGCTATTTGACTATTAGGGTTCTGGAAGCGTACCAGAGTTCGTCTCATTATCTCGTCCATCAGGAGATTAAATAGGTATAGAGACAGAGTGGGCACCCCCGATGGAAGTCGCCTTCTGTGCGGAAGCTTTTGGAGAGCTTTCCGTATGCTCTCACGCGCCCAGAATTCTGAAAATACAAAGAACTCACCATGTTCTCAAACTTCTAGGGCATCTCCCGGGCAAGTGTATCAGGAAGAACAGACCAATAGACCGAATGGAATGATCCTTAGAAATTCATGAATACTAAAATTGTGGATTATTTATATGTATGACGTTGCTCTAGCACCCGACAGAGTATGATGAATCGGTCAACGCAACCTCTCCCAGTCCAGAATCCTGCTTTCCGACAATGTCCCACAAGCCACTATTGGGCGACAGCGGACAAGTGGCGCAAAAAATCTGGTTACATTTGGAATAAAGCTGGTCCATTTCTGACTGCTACTCAATAAGAAGAAAGAAGAAAGAAAGAAAGCTTTCAGCTGTAGCACCCTTCCGGTGCCTAGCTGCCATGCCACCTGAAGGAAGCACGAGGGCTGGGATACTGCCAGGTTGCCCAAGCCTAGACAGGGGAAGTCGAGAGGCGGAGGTCGGATTCGAACCACGGACCTTCCGGTCAGTAAATTTGCGCTCTAACCACTTGGGCCATCTCGCCCCTACTCAATAAGGGCCATTCTTATGAAAATGGACACAATTATGTGCCCTTGCAGGTTTTATGAAACAGTCCCCTTTTCTCAGATGAAAGCAAATGGATCCGAAAAGCGTTGGCTGAAGACTTGACTTCTATTCTTGAACAAATCGGGGGGAAAAGAAGAAAGAAAGCGTTCAGCTGTAGCATCCTTCCGGTGCCCAGCTGCCATGCCACCTGAAGGAAGCACGAGGGCTGGGATACTGCCAGGTCGCCCAAGCCTAGACAGGGGAAGTCGAGAGGCGGAGGTCGGATTCAAACCACGGACATTCCGATCAGTAAATTCGTGCTCTAGCCGCTTGGGCCATCTCGCCCAAATCGGGTGGTGGGTAATCTGGACCATGAGTTAGATGGCGCTTCAACGCACATACATAGCCTTCAACCCAGGACACCGCGGGGGTACATCACTGTCTCTTTAGGGTCCCAATTCAGTTACAGGCTCCAGCCGAGTGGTATCGGATGGCCACGAGAATTACTACACCAGATGAACCAGCGGCAAAGGCGTTCTTTAACGAAGACGGTCGCACCACTTTTATCCCTGATCGTTTCATAGGCGGTCCCCGGGAACCGGTCGCTAGAATTAACTGAAAAAGTCTTAACATTCTTGGATTTATGGAGCTGCATTTCCTTGGCCTTCTGTGTCCACAAGGATTCATGGTCGGTGCGCACGCTGATTGACTTAGCGTCTGATAATTCGTCCGGCGAAGTTATGATCGGGGCTTGCGAGAACACTACTCCGATATTCAAGCAGTGCCAATTTCCTATCTACTGTCCAGTGGTTAGGCGAACCTGGTAAACCCGTGCGACAGACAAAACTGCGGCAAAGATGTCACGATCTCGTCCCAGCATGAATTAGTACCTCGCGATGCAGGAGTTGTAAGAGAGTGATGTTTTTTATAAATCCACTTAACTCAGGGATCTGTCAGCCTCTCAGTTGCTACGCGAGTTCTCCGCGCCTTATGCGTTTGCTAATTTGAGACACCTATAGCGTCATAGCGGTATACTCCTGAATCTCAAGAGACGTGTTTATCAAGCTACAGTGCGGGATCTATTGCGGTGCAGCTGTGAGACTTGGCTTGTTTGAGCAGCGGAACTTAAACGTCTTCAAGTATCTGACAACCACTGCCGCTGGACCACAACTTTTATAGGTTGGTGCCAGTGAATCCCTAACGATATAAATAGACAGCCAGTTTTCGGTCGTGCAACGAGGACTTCCACTGAAGAACGTGCCCTGCACCAGAAGCTGAGTTGGTCAGGTCCTGTTTTGCGCATACAGAACCGCCGTATGCCGAAGAGAGTGCTGTTTCTCGTGCCCCATTCAGATTAACGGAGGGAGAGGCGGCTAACTATTGACCTGGCAGACGGGTATGAAAACGATCACGAAAAGTCTGGGTGCTGTCGGTGCGACCCGCCTTGAAGGATGGAAAAGGCGCGATCCCCATTGTACCTGGTTGGACACGCCGTAAGACAGGGCTACTAATCGGTGATAGTGGCTTTATCGTTGTCATTTTCGATCCAGCTTGCGTGAATGAGTGCATGGAAGTGTAGTCACCTCAGGATGATTATGGTAGGCTAGTGTTGAGTACATATTTTTATTCTTTTCTTCAAAATAAGGTTTGCAAATAAATCATGGTTGTACGGCAAAGGAGCATCACTGTTGGTTACTGATGTCATTCTGTCGACGATGATGATGACGATGACGGTGTCCCTGGAAGACGAAGACGGAATCGACTCCGGACGAGCGCTTGGTCGGAATCCACATGTACTCCAAAACGAGCGGCAATCATTTGTTGATCCACAGTGTCTGTAACTCATGGCGAGACCACTAATATGAGCTCATATCTGGCATGCTGTCAGAGGAGACCATGGGGCCAGAGGTCTTCAGTCAGCACATAATCGAAGTAATCGTTCGCCAGTGTCCATAGTTACCGATTCTAACCCAGGTCGACCAGCTTATTAAGTCTCAGACGCACCATGCCTGCCCGCAAACAGGACAAACAGACACTGATCAACTTTCCGCTTGTGAGACTCCTTCATAGACATTGCCCGGCAAACGGCACAGAGCCGGCCATCAACGGATATTCAGTCAAGTAAAAACCCTTCCCTCTGGTGACTAAGGATGATATCAACCTCTGAACACCTTGCCAAAGCAGTCTCTCAATCGTTAGAAAAGCGCAGCCAGAAGCGACTGGAGTGATATGGCAGTTAGCTCAATCACTGTGCTTGCATCCTGAATTCTTGTCCCTAATACACAGCACACATTATTGCCGAATGAATCCAATGTGGTGGCAGGAACGACTCGTTTTCCTCCTTACTTTGGAGTATTGACATTAAAACTAGGCAAACTGAGCGTCGAAGCTTGAAGATAGATTTCGAGTCGAGGGGGAGGAAGACGTATGTGAACGGGAAAGAAAAGCTACAGAAGTGGTATACTTTCGCCTACCCGCCCTATTATATGCAGTAAGGCGACCCGGATGGTGACATCACGCAACGGCCGATGTGGTATGAGATTGTTAGTTTTCGATGGAGGAAAATGTTGGTAGCTCAGTTAGGGTAGATGGTCGTTGGCTTGTTCGCTGAGCTGGGCAATTGATTGTTAGTTGTAGGAATCAGCGTTTCCGTGAACTGGAATACTGTCAGGGCGCCTAGATCTGAGTAGAATGATCAGGATCCGAGACCAAAGCCCTCGGGTCAAAAGCTTGACCGAAGGGCAGAGGGTTGACGCGGAAGACATTAAAATGCATTGCAATTTATATAGAACAAGTGCCTACACATGTTCAAACCTCTAACCCAGAAAACCAGGTGACTGTGTTGGTCTGCTCTCTAACCACCGACCAACCTGGCATGAAGGACTCTGCGAGTGTCGCACGGATACCAACCATTACAGTTCACTTAGTAACTGAGACACACAAACCTTGACACCAGGGTAAACTCAGTCTAAGTGACAGGCATCACGGCCAGTGTTGGCACCGATTTGGTCCTCGAGGGTTTCGGGATTTTTGTTCATTACTTGCCAAGATGTCTTCGTGGTTAAGGTACGACCTCACTGATCGGACGGTTTGTGATTCGAATCCAACCTCTGCACCTTAACTGCTCCTGTATAAGCTTGGACAACCTGGCGATATCTCAACCCTCGACCTTCCTTCAAATGGAATGCTTCGGCTTTGATCTTAACGCAATTCTCCAATCTGTCTTCATGTGATAGACGTCGTACGTAGCGAGTGGCGCAGGCGATGTGCAAGAAGAGAAATTTCTCTGTGGAATGGACTTACAATGCACCTCAGGTAGCTGGCTGTATTGCTGCACATCCAAGATGCATCGCCCTGTGCATTTGTCGCACTGAAAAACCATGTCATCCTTCGCCACGTCAAAGCTGCACCGGGTACATTCCACCTATTCGGTGCTTGATCAGAGAATCATATAACCGCAGTGTAGTATGGAAAAACCAGCACAAGTTGCTTGCATAACCAACCGGATGGGGCCATGTAGGACCTGATGCTGTCAGTGAATGAAAGTTCCGAAAGTGATGAACTTCAGTGAATCCGAAATATCGTTTCTTCTTCAATTTTGTTGGAAACAACGAAAAGATCCTGGTATTGGACCCCGCAGCTGGCCGACACTCGATGGAGAGGCAGAATAAATGTGGGCCATCAGGTTCCAGATCATAATGAACCCAATTAAATATGGAGTAAATAGGTGCTGCCTCAATGTTATTTCCGGAGTAATATTCCATGACCAACCCTGGTGAAAGCCTTAGAGGTGTGAAAGCAAATAATAACTACTCCAGATCTATCGTCAACCGCATTCACCCATCAGTACCCCGGGATCATCAATATGACTGTGCACGGCGAAAATCGTGTGTAACGGTAACAAGATATCCGCGAATTATGAATTCACAAGCTATCATAGATTCCATGAACTTCCACCAATCAGAAAGAGATACTGGTCGTAATTTACTAGGTTGGATTGACTCTGTTTAGAATACCAGCGCGATTATCCCGTTCCCATATAATCGACATGGCTCCATGAACAAAAAGTAGTCAGAACCACCTAGCCAGTGGTCCTGACGGATAGCCTGGTCGTTTATCCAAAACTTTCGGATAAAGATTGCACATATACAAATAAACTCATTCCACCATGGCTCCATAAAAAGTAGTCAGAACCACCTAGCCAGTGGTCCTGACGGATAGCCTGGTCGTTTATCCAAAACTTTCGGATAAAGATTGCTTGCACACAAATAAACTCATTCCACATCGGCCGTCGCGTGGTGCCATCAGCCGGGTCGCCTTACTTGCTGCATACAGCAGGGCAGGTATGCGAAAACAGGCTACTGCTGACGCCTCTCTTCTTTCTCTTCCACATACTTTTTCTTCCCTCCCTCCCCACCCCATTAATAACCCTCTCCTTGTAGGTCCAGCACTTAGGACTGATGATTCTGTTCATCATGCATCGGTTTTGCGTGCAGCATCTGCTCGTCACATGGTGCCGACATCTTCAGGAATCTCCAAATCAGTCCTCAAGCCTCGACACCCAGTCTATCTGGCCGCGTTCAATGT